TGTGTGTGTGCGTGAGTGTACAGTGTGACGCGTGTGGGATATCCAGGGTGATCCGGTGTGTGTGTGAACAGCAGAGTTGGGTTGGCAACAAACAGAGAGTTGTGCAGGCGCTTATGCGCCATAGCTGTTCGGAGTGAGCTTGTATTTGAACTGCGTTCTTGGTTACCATATCTCCGAGTTCTGAGTGGGCGCTGGTCGCCAGTTTGCTGCACTACCTGTTTGCATGCATGTGAAGTGTGAAAGAAGCGAGTCCGATTGCACTTCGGGAATATCGATGCCTTTGGGGTGTTAGGGCAGGAGTGTAGGCTGTATCTCGGGTTCTCTGCACGTGGCCAAGCTGGTAAGCCAGATCCAAGCCTGTTCTTATTTCGGATTCCAGCATGACTTTCCTACGAGCTCGAAGTTGGAAGTGGGCTACTACATTTCTTGCGTTTCGCATCTGATGGGATTTATAGGCCAGATCCCTGCTCCCCTCTATCTCTGGCTGTAGCGTGCACTTTAGCACACGCCTCTTGCTTGGAGGAAAGGGAAGAGCCCAGGGCGGTGAACTTAGCTCATAGCTTGAATTTGTCTACTTGGTTGATTTCGGTTCGGTAGTAGACTTGATTGGTAATCCAGCGCCTTCCTCATGGGGGTTCGTTCATGCTATCTCTACATGCTCCTTGCTTAAAGCACCAGTACACCACGCATCGGCCAGCGGGTGTCAGCACGAAATCCGCACCACTTCGGAGGCCGCTGATTTTTTTTTTCAACGGCGCCCCACACCGCGCGGCCCCTCCGAGTTAAAAGCTTGTGGCGACAAAAACTTTCTGCGAGGCTGGGGCCGTGTACTTGCGGTTTAAGCTCTGATCCCTTTGCTTGGCAGTTTGGGGTTTGTCCGTAGCAGGCAACGGAACTACTGGGGGTAGTGGGAGACCTGCTTGTGGTTGTGACAACATTGCTGAGCTACTTAGGGCATGACCGACTGGCATTTAGCTGATAAGAGTACAAACTTGGGCTATACCCATTGAGATCTAGGGTGCCTGGAAGTTCCTACAGAGGTCCAAGGGTACAAGGTGGGAAACCTCGTCAAGGCAACCCAGGCACCTCACGGCTATTAGCTGGTCCGATGGGCCTCTCCTGTGGTATTGGTTTTTGCTTTTCTGTTCGGTGGATCTGTCTTGGGAACTGTGGTGAATTTGATGGGTCGAGTTAGTTAGGCATGATTTACTTTATTATAGATTAGCAGTAGTTGTTGACCGATTCACAGGCTGTATTGTGCCCTAAGCGAAATTGGGTAACAAAAAAGGAGTGTTCTGGTTCTGCCAGACTCATAAGCGAAACTGGCTAATGCTGCCAGGATAACTCGGGGTTGAATTGTGAGGTCCCTGGCCTCAGTTCAATTTGTTTCTAATATGAATGGTCTTGTTAAAAAAAAAATTGTAGGACCAGTGGGACCAGGGGGTTGTTGGCCCAGTCCAAGTGCCTGCTCATGGCAGTTTTTTTCTGAACGACCTGAGTTGAGTCTCTGCCTGTTTGATCGGAGAATACAGTACAGTAAATGAGTTGAACAAAAAAGCTGTGCTTGTGTAATCGACAACCAAAGATAAAGCATCAACGTAGGGACCCCAAACCCTGTAGCGAAGCCCTCGACGGCAGGTCAAAAGGTGATCCGTATGATGCTTACATAGAGCCGCTCATAAGCCCCACATGAATCAGCTGCCACTCAGGGTCACCCAGCACGTCTATTCCAATAAAGAAACGAGGTGAGTGGGAGAAGGAGACGGTGGGATATCATGCGTCCTACTAGTGAGGGGGCTAGCTGGTAGGATTGGAATAGGGTATAGCAGCAGTAGAGATGGTGGCTCTGCTGCAGTAAGTCTTGCCGGAGTGAAGAAC